TACACGATTGTCTTGAAAAAATCTAGCGACAGTTTTCGTGGAACTTGTAATATCAAAGACCATTTTGAGAATATGGAAACAAGATAACTAACATTAGAGTTTACATTAGAAGTCTCATCACAAAAATTCAATCTGTTAAACGGACAAGACATAAATGTTTCCATGGATGATAGTCTCATAATAGTAAATAATCATTCAGTGGTAGCCCTGTCAATGTTTTGAGAAGTCACAACTATTACATCTTTTTTGAGGTATATTATGCACTCTGGTGTCTTCTTAAAAGTTGAGCTAATTTTCACACATAACTTTTCATGTAAAGCTCATTTAAATTTTCGCACTCATTCCAAGGGACACATATGATCCTAAGATTTTCAAACCCCCCTTTTACCCCTCCTAGATATACAACACGTGTTCCAATTTGATCCATATTAATTTCTGAGAAGGCCTCGTGTTAGAGAACTTCAACTCCCCGTACGGTACTTAGATGATTGCCTTTTACTCGTGCCCCTAGCAAGGCGTGGAAGTTTTGATAAAGAGTTGGCTCTAGCCAACCCTCCAAAAGCTTTCCATTCTTCACTTAGTTCCACACCAAGCTTGCCATCTACAGTTTCAGTGTCTTCATTTCTAGTGGATTTAGAGCGATGCATGTGCTTGCTGCGCTGTTTATGTTTTCTGGTCGTAGTGGATTTTGAATGTGTAAGAACAGGTTGGTCATGGTCATCCAGAAACAAGATTATGACAGCACAATCATCAGCCTTGGAACCAGGATACTTGTATCTCCAGGCTCTAACAGCACGCTTTACCAACAACTTGGCTGCGATGGACCTCCTTGGTGCTGAAGCAACTATGTTTATCACTTCACTGTTAGTGAGCACATCCCATATCTGTAAAAAATAGAAAATTTTAGTCCTTCATATGGATGCTTGTAGAAGAAATTTAGTGAAAGGCTTATTTCATTGCTAGCTTGACTTTGTAAATATTTGCATATGTATTTGGATTGGGAGAATTATATGAATTGAGTGAAACAATAGTCAATAACATATATCGGTTTTGTTTAGATAAATTTCTCATTGAGTACTTACAAAGTTACAGGATAAGAGGAGAAGAAATTAAGGAGGTAAAATGAATTATCCTTCTCTTGTCAGAAGTTAAAATTAACTTATGGCTGATTTATAAAAGTTCTCGAATTTAACCGGTCTAAAAGTTGTTTTAAGTCATTCTCAAGTTAATTTTAACTAATGAGAGAAATTTAATTTATTTTATCTTTTTATTTCTTTCTCCTTGAGTGCTTATCGAGAAATTTACCTAAATAGGAACATTTTGTCTGCCTTGGAATTCAAGATCAAGTATATAAAGGTGACAATGTAATATTACTAACCCCATCAGTTGCCAAAACCACAAATTGATCTTGTGGAGTGATTTTTCTGTAAAATACATCAGGAACCGAGATGAGGCCATAATCTTTGAGGCAAAAGTCCCCAAAGGCTCTTGACATGGCTAGTCCAGGGCAGTCATCATCAGGCATCCATATTCTGTAAACATCTGGTTCTTCTTCTGCTGCAAAAACCCTTCCTTCACAGTTAACGATTCTTGAGGTTTCACCTGAGAAAATTTCAAGAAAAGCTGGTTAGTTACACTCAAAACATGATGGTCTAGTAAGACTTGGGAACTGAGGCCAAAACCAAGACCTACTTGGAATATCTGGTTTCAAGTCAACAGTGAGTTGAACAGGAATGAGTTGGTCCCTATCCCTTGTGCAAAGAATCGCACGAGAATCACCCAAATTGCCAACTATCAACTGGTCACCCTGAAATTGTAGTTGGAAAAGTGATGCATGTAGTTATTTCCTTCATACAAAAAGTGTTTGACTAGTGAGTAGGTAATGCTATTGTGAACATTTAGTTATACCTGTTTAATTAAAGTTACAGCAGTGCAACCACTGCAATAGCTGTCGGTGTTAATTTCCTGAGCAAGGTACTCATCCATCTCATCAAAGGATTTCAGAAAACATCCCTCCCATGCAGCAAGGGACATGTTGGGGCTACTATAATCATCGTAAACATCATCAAAACTAGCAGTTTCTGCATCATTAGCATCATAGTATTTGATTGCCTTCTGCTGGGAAATTTCGATTGCTGCAGAAAGTTTTGAGGGCAGATTGTCACGAATAAATTGTGAAACCTTGTGGCCTAGTGGACCATGACCATCGAACACACCACAGAAGATCACATCTTTTTCTCCAGTATAGTCCTAATAATGTACCATATCCAACATCAATCCAAACAACATGTTTCATCAATTAAAAAGCATCATGCTATAGTAAAAACCATAGGATAGAGACATGGAGTAACTCAATTCTTTCATAACTCGAACCATAAATTAATCCAAAGAAAACTACCAGGCCCTGAGATTTCCATTAAACAAGAATCTTGCTAGCAATTCCCGAGATCCAAGGTAAGAACAATGCAACTTGCGAATGTTTGACTTCAAGAAATAAATTTTTATTATGAATGTTTGAAAATTGAAATTGAATTATTTCAAAATCATCACAATTACCTTACTGCCATTCAACATTTAATCGTTTATACAAATTAAATGAAAAGGCTATGAAGGACAAAGCGTAGACTAGGACATTCTTACAAAGCTCAAATCTCTATCTGGCCTGTGACAACTAATTTTCATTTTTATTTTTGTTCAATCAAAAATAAAAAGAAGAAGAGGAGGAGAAGACACAGAACATGGGTAATAATTAATAAAGTCATGTCGGTTAAGGCAGAGAAGAAAGCCAACTAAATACATGAAAAATCAAAGAGAATAAAGAGGAAGGAAAAATGGAGAACAATTAGCTCAAAATTGCAAAAAATGATAATTACGTGTACAATAAACAACGCTCTAATGATAATCTTATCCTTTAAATTCACCAAAATTTGATCATTAATGAAATTAATACAAAAGCCCGTGACTAAAAGGACAACTATAATCCTGGCCACAAGAACTGATTGAAAACTTAAAAAGCCAATAAAACAAATTATCAAAAGAACAAAAACAACCAAAGTTAATGAAAATAAATCGAGAAAAACGAAAAGTGAAAACAAATACATGGAGAATCATACCTCCCAAACTGCCATTGAATCTTGGTTCACACCCTTTTGGCCCTGTTGGCTATACATTGATACAAACCTAGAGGATCCTCTCAGCCTAACCAATGCTCCACCACATTCATATGACACATCGTTTTCACGATCATAATCATATTCTCTATCATCCACCTCGCTTTCCACCTTCCCTCGAACCGAAACTTCGTGGCTGCAACAGCCTCCCATGTCTGGAACCCAACAAAACCAATTTCCAATGACGAAAACAAGGGCACCCCACGAAACTCCGGGGAATACCCAGAAGATATTGTGGAGAGAACAAGCGAAAGAGTGAAGAAAAATGGAGTTTTTCGCCACGAAGCAATGAAGGGTTAGAATTCAGAATGATAAAGAGTCATGGAGAGGTGACAGAAAAATGCATAGAGAGAAGGTGGAAAGGGCCAAAAATGCATGGCAGGAGTTGGAAGACACACAAATGGAAGAAGGATAGGGGAAAGAGGTTGTCATGTTGAAACAAAGGTTGGAACTATGCGTATTATTGTCTGTTTCTTAGGTGGTTTTCGTTTGTTGTATGTTTTTTTTTCGGTTGTCAAAAGTCAAAGTCCTAAGTGAAAAAAGGAAAAGATTTAATAATATTTGTATGTTTGCTCTAATAATAATAAGCTTTTATATGCTACTCTTGATCGCACCGTGAGAAAATAATAAATATATTATTTTTATATGATTTTATTTAAATAATTCATCTTCTTAATAAATATATTATTTTAGTTTAATAATTTATGAAAATGTAAACTAAAAGATTTAAAATTATCATTGCATTGAAAAATGAGAACATTATTCATTTTAAAATATTTTTCAAATGTTAAAATTATAGTTATTGTGAAAGAAAAGGAGTATAAAATTACTAATTTTTTTTAATAATTATTTGAAAATTTATATTTAAAATATTTTTAATATTATGGCTAAAATATTTCTCTAAAAGATTTGACTTACGATCTTAATTTCATAAATTTTAATTATGTAATCTTAGTTTTTAGTTTTTTAAAATTTATAATTTTAGTTTTCAACTTTTGTTGACCGTTAAAATTATAATGTTGATTATAATTTGACATAAAATAGACAATAAGATAATCAGTATTTAATAATATTTTGACACATTGAACTTTTGTTCCTTAGTTTTATCCCTAAAAATTGGTAAACCAAAGAAAAATGAGGTAAAAATAAGATCAAGGTAAAATTTACTTAAACATTAATTATCATGTTATTTATTTAATATTATAACATGATTAATATTATAATTTTTTTACAAATAATTGATAAACATTTAACTGTTGAACCAAAAATTGTGAATCTTATTATAAATTTGGAAGATTAAAATCACGAAATTAAATTATTTAATTAAAAAAGTTGAAATATATAGTTTTAAATTAATTAAAGAACGGTTGTGTTAACCAATATATTCTTTTAATTCATGTTAATCATTATATTTAATCTTAGGGAAATTCCAAAATGATTAAATAATCAAAAGTGAAATAAATAAGTATTGAAAGTGTAATATTTTTAACTGATTAACAATTTTTGGTGGGGTTCAAACTAGAACTCACTAAAAAGAATTTATTGGCTAAATTAGGATAAGTTGTGCATGTAAAAGGACTTTTACAAATTAACTTATATATAAGTTAATTTTAACTTATGAAGAAATCTTTTTTAATTTTTTTCTTATTTTTCTCTCTGAGTACTTTTTGAAAAATTTATTCAAACAAACTCATAATCAATTATTGAAATAATCTAATTTTCACTTCTTTTTCAAACATACTCTAATATATTAGGTTATTGCAACTATCATCATGACATTAGTCAAAATATTAAAATTAACCATAATAAATAAAAACTGCAAAATTTAATATATTTAAAACTTAATTTGTTTATAAAATTTTACATAATTAAAAATATTTAATTATTTTACCTAAAATACTTATTAACACACAATAAATCAGAAGGAGTATCTTGAACTTCTTAGATTCATTTAAGAAACTAATATCTCTCAACAAATATTTTTCTATAGATTTTGTATAAGAGATCATACTTTTGAATCTAAGTAGCACAAATTCGGACACAACATATGAACACAATATGGACACGAACACGAGGATACGACAAAATCAAAAAACATAAGACACGTGGACACGATATATATATATATATATATATATATATATATATATATATAGATATATATAAAACATAGTACAAATAACTTAAAAAAGTTATATAACTTACTAAGTCTCAAAAATAAATTATTAAGAGACATCATATTCTACAATAATTTTTTTTTTAAATCTCAAATCTTCCCTTCATTATTTTTATTTTTATTAAGATTTTTTCTTTTATATTACATGAATGAAAAATAAGGAAAGACGAGAATGATTTTCTTCCTTATTTTTGTTTTTATCAAGATTTTCTTTTAAAAAAAATGTCAATTCCTCCCTTCTTTATTTCTATTTTTATTGAGATTTTTTCTTTTTTAAAAAAATCCACAAAACTCTCCTTTTTTTTACTGTTTTTATTGAGGTTTATTCTTTTTCTATTTTTTTAAAAAAATCTCAAATTCTTCTTCCTTTATTTCTATTTTTTCAAGATTTTTTTTTAAAAAATCTTGAATTTACATATCGGATAGTATCGAGATAGAGACATGTTTACTTACATGTGTCCGCGACGGAGACACGTTAATTTTCTAGATGTCTATAGTGGAAACATGTCCGATTTGTACGAACATGATTTGTCGAAATATCCAAGGCATGTCCGCTTCAAAAGAATGTTAGACTCGAGAACATGTCAATCCCAATTATGTCACATTTTTAATAATTATTAGCAAAACTTATTATTAATGTATATTTTTTTATGCATTATTAATGTATATACTAAATATGCATAAAAATACTTACAACAAAAATATTTTACTTGAAACTTATATTTTTATTTTGTTAACTTTAAAGTTTAAACCATCCCTTATAATTTTAACTAATGTATTAATTTTTTTATAAATATAATTTTCAAAAGTTAACATAATCTTCCGTATGTATCGATTTTATACCACTTGTGTCGCGTCCAGTAGTGATAGTTTGACACTAATAAATTAGATCACTGAATGCCAAAATAAAGAGATATAAGCATTAATGCACTACAGACTACAGAGATCTTGACTTCAGCATTGAGCTGCATCTCTGACGTGGATAGGACATTAATTTGACACAAGAAAGTCAACGTGAACTTTTGTGTACATAAATTTGAAGAAAGTTGGAATTTGGCCAACGGTTTCTAAATGGTTTGATATGTTTTTAAGTTAAGGTTAATAGGATAAATTTTGATTTTAATATTGAGAAAACCTCTGTATTAGCTTTTATCTATAATTATTTTAAAATTAATATGCGACATGATTCACACCAGAGAATAACACTAAAAGTATTTAAGAAATTGCATATATGTTTTGCAAATAACAATAATGTTGTTGTTTTTAGTATTATTAGAATGATTGTGGTGTTGTTATATTATTGTTAGAATGCTTGAGTAATATTCTAGGTTAATTTAGTTTGTTTTAAATTGTGATTTGATTTTTTTAGTATATAAATTAATTTTGATTTGATTTAACCCAACTAAATATTACTAACATAAATAATATTTTTTAAAATTATTCAAGCTTGATATTTAATATGATATGATATGATATATATATATATATATATTGAAATAATTAAATTAATTGAATTGATGAAAAAATAGTTTATGAAGGAAATTAAATAAATTTTATGTTTGACTTGTGTTATTAATCTATTAGTAATATATTTATTTGTACAATAAATATTAAAATCATTTTGAGAAGAAAAAAAATATTGAAGGTAATTATTCTTTATTTGAGACTCAATAATTAAATAAGGTTGTTGTTGTAATTCTCCAAACACACTAGAATGAGAGGGATCCATATATTGTAAATATGTGAGATTGTGCACTTGAATATAACTTAAATGAATTAATTTGTACTATTTATATTAATAAGATGCATCTATTTTTCGATAGTTCATCATATAAGAACTCCACAATTAAGTATATTTGGGTAAGTAATTTATAGATAAATAACCTTTTGAGAAGTTTTCTAAAAAACGTGTGAGTAAGGACAAAATACATTGAAAAGACGTATTCATAGAGGGTTCTTATTGATAGAAAATTCTGACTAACCAGAAATAATGTAAGATGTCATGAAAGATGTCAAATATGAAATGTAGTGAAAGACGTCAAATCTGAATGTTGTTACAATTGTTATAATATAGTAATATTCTTGTTTTTTATGAAATTATTTTTAAGGTTTTTTGATTATTTTAAATTTAAAAAGAATGTTAATAAACAAATTTCAAATATCATATATTATAAAAAAATTAAAAAGTCTAAAATAATAAATAAAAATGTCAGGTTAACCTGGAACAAGAAACGTAAAAAAATGTAAAGATAAAATGATTTTAGAAAAGCAAAGTAAATGATCTCTTTTAAAGTTGAATTAATTAACTTTATATATTTCTTATATATTAAATATGACTAATTATCTTGTATAAAAACGTTTTTAGAGACTATTTCTAAAAAAAATTGTGAAAATTTTTTAATTTCTTATTTTATTATTATTTTTATTTATCCAAGTTTTTTACTACAGAAATTATCTTGTCCAAGAATATTTTTGGGATAAGTTTCCATGCACTTTTAGAAATTCATTAATTTTTTTATATAACTAGTATTTTAGTTTGTGCAATGCATAGTTTAAATATTTATTATATATAATTAAAATTTAAAAAAAATATGTATATAAATAAATATTATGTTGAAATATATATTTTGAATAAATAGATATTTTTAAAATTAGTATACATAAATATTTTTAAATATATAAATTATATTTTAGATTTATGATAAATAATTTGTATTATGACAAAAAAAATTGTTTTTATTTATTGATAATTTATTTTAAAATATTAATATTTAGTTTATAAATAATTATGATAAATAAATAAATAAATTTTTAAAAAAATTTTAAAAAAATTATAAATCTTTTCGTTAAAGAAAATTTCCTAGAAACACTTACCTACGAAATAGAGATTCATGTTTACCTTTTGTAACAAAGTTTTCTTTGTATACATAACAAACAATAGTTTCAATTGACATTTGTTTTATTTTATAATGATGTAAATAAATATAATGTATAAATGTGGAAGTTAAAGAAGTATGTACAAAATGTTACTTTTGAGCTTATTATCATCGCAGTTCTTACTGATAGAAAAATAAAATAAAAACTTATTATTGTTTTTATTATTTTATTATTATTTACTATTAGTTAAACTATATTGTGTTAATTGTAATGATGAGGTAGATTACTTTTTCACGTTTGGATAAATGACGAAGGAAAGAAATTCAAAGCATAGTATGGAAGGAATTTGAACAACGCAGCAGGCCATTTGTGGGCTTGTGGCTTTATTGCATAATGGTCCCACAACTTAATGGTGGG